AGAATTTATGCGATTGGGTTAGACAATTAATGCTTGATTATTGATTTTCTACGGTTCACGAGCATCATTAGGAGAAAAAAAATATTGTATAGGGTAAAAAAACGGTCATTTTGTCACTAATTGAATAATGCAGGTAAAAAAAAACGGACGATTGACTTTTGAGGAACCTTGAAGAGACTCCCTCTTGTCTTTCTCTGTGCCCAAAACTGATTGTTAGATGAACAAATAAGTAACTATTATGAATCATTTTGTGAAATTATTTGACTGTAATGAGTGTAAGGCCCAACCTGCTTTAATGGGGAATTTTTCTGTGTGAGAAGGAAGAAGGTGTGCTCATGGCTTTTTTTTTTTCTAGTTTGCAATTCTTCTGCAATTTGTCTTGTTACTGAAACATAATATTCGCAGTTTTTCGCTATACAATTCATGTGATTTTCCTCCTTGTTCTGACACGAAACAGTTTTAATGAGGTAATTGCTGCTCCTGTTGAGAAAGTCCAACACATGCAGTGTCATGGAAGTAGAATAGATAATTTATCAGCACGATGTTTATGTTGCAAAAGCAAGGTATTTAAAATTTTCACACAAATACGGATTAGAAAGATTAATTTCTACAGAAAATGGTTATAAGAGTTCATCGAGAAAAAAAATCACTAAAAAAAGCATATTATTATTCATTGATTGCAATTTACATAAATTAAAAGTGCCTCTTTTTCGGAGCAATTCCTTTAGATAAAGAGTTGAATTAATTCAACGGGAAAATTGTTATGAACTGTTAATAACTATAAAGAAGATAAGGTTTAGAAGAAGCAAAAAAAAACCATATGTTTTCATGTGAATTTGAATTTGTGTGTGCGACAACATGCAGAGAGACAGTAAATTCACAATTCAAATTATCGTCTCGTATAAGATCTGAGGTGATGCTCTCACATATGATGGAGGAAATGTGTTATGGAGAAAAAATAAACGCGCGATGGTGAAGAGAAAGAGGAAGAAAAATGAAGAACAAGACTGTGCCCGCGGGAATTTGTAAACTTTCCTTGTGTGCCATATAATAGATTCGTGAATGTTTGGTTGTCCACGAAAATATATAAATCTTGATAAATTAATATACTTTGGTATGATCACAATATTATGTTGATGATGATGGTGAAGAAAAGCAGACACACTATTCATTCTATGAAGTGTGTTGGATTGATCATTCAGAAATGAATTGATTTTGAGTGGAATTGATGCAACTTGTGCATATTTTACCGTATTTATGATAGACTCTATTGCGTAAAAAGTATCTTCCTCTTCAATTTATCAATATTAGAGAATGCATAAATTTAGATATACACACATTGCACAAATAAATTGCCATACTCGTGAAATACACCCATTTCTTTCTCATTTACATCCTAAAAAATAGTTTTCCATTGTGATTTTTTATTCATTCTGGTTGATTTACTAAAGGAATTTAAATATATGACTTCACTATACTTAATTTCAACCAACTTATTTATTTATACATCAATATAAAATTATGTACATGCAAATTTGCCAATATTTCCCTAATTCTTCGAAGTTCCAATCAGAGTAAAATATATATGTATGTATTTAAATTTGAAATTGCCAAATATTGAATAGCGACTCTCAATAATGGCACCGCAAATAATTGCAATACATACATATATATATGCGTTACATTTGTGTTATAATAGAAGTAAACAAGAGAGGAAATGTGTACAGATAAAGAGAGACATATTTTTTGAATTTGATTTGCAAATATATTACATTGTCACAGAGTGAGATTTGAACTGAAATAAATGGTATGCAGCAATATGTGCAGACGGTATATTGGTGTTAATTTTTCAGCCCATGCCAAGAAAGAAGGTGGTTCCACGCCCGTGGAGATCTTTTTGCACGTGTCCGTCAATTTATGCATCAATTAGCGGATAAAAGTGTAGAATGAGGTAAAATAATAGATGTGGCAATGCCGATGGAATAATGGCGTCAAAGGAAATTTTGCGATATGCTTCTCACTGTCCTAAATTCGTGAGTTGCAGTCTATTTGTGTGGTGCTGTATATTTCCTCCAGCTGAAAATATGCATTAACATGTGTGTAGTGTGTATCACAAAAGAGGAGATTATATGTAGCAATTTATGACGATCGTGAAGGTGTTACACCGCAATTAGTTTCAACACCTATAACAACGACTCACCGTTTAATTTTCATAGCATCTAATTATTTTCTACATTGCCTTACATATTCACCATGGATAACAAATGTGATCCTCAAATGTGAGATCGCGCCATCCGCGTAGTGTGAATATTAAATTGTCGATTGTGATATTTTCTCCAGGTTATTACACTACCTACAATCGATATTCTATTTTCCCCTTGACATCGATGATCTCGTGAGTTTTTTGTTGTTGTGTTGTTGTTGTTGTGTGATTTCAGAGGGAGATTTGTGTGGAAATCTCTCGTTGTGTCTCTGAAAAAGAGAAATGTTCATAAGTTTGGACTTTATGCAGAGTGTGATCTATTTCTGTAAGGCATAAGGCAAATAGCATGAAAACTATTTAAACAGTGTGTGAGCCCAGAGGAGATTTCTGGAGTGAAACATTTGTTGTTTCAATCACATTTAATTTGTCGTGCAGAGTATTTTTTTTTTATTATTCCTTTTCAGCTTGTGGGGAACATCGCACAGTGCTTTTACTCCACTTTTATCATCAACACGCACAAATGTGATGGCGAGAGATTAGATTGAGGGGGAGAAGACAGTGTGTGAAATATGTGTGTGTGCTATTTGAGTGAAAGAGGAAGAGGAAATGAATGCGAGTCTCAACTATTTTTGAACAATATTCACTAATTTATTTTAATTTTTACGCTACTCCAACTTCAGTGAGAAGTAAATTTATGACAAAACTCCATTTCTCTTTTTGTCTGTCTGTCGTTTCTTCTTCAACCGACTTATTGTTTGTTGAAATGTTGATACCGCATCCACGAGTGACGGATAAAAGTAACAGCGAAGCAGAGACTGAGCTGAGTATAAAACATATGATCAGATTTCTCTAGGCTTCGCATGCGGTGATCTCTCAGGCATTAAAAAACCTTCCTAAATATATGTGTTATTATCTTTCGAGGTGGCAAAAGATATGGGAGTTCGACTAATTTGCTTCTCAGTTTGCGCTTTTAATTGAATAGTGTTGTTAATCTTCTGCAGAAAGCGATGATGAGTCTAATTTTACACATAGACCAACCATTGAGCGAGCACTTCCGTCTCTGTGATAATCAACATGTATGTATTTGACTTGGCAAAGACACACGGTGTGTCTGGACAGAAAAAAAGACAATAAATTGGATGAACTCTCGCGAACTTCACTGAAATATCTGAGTTTGCTTACATTTTCCAACAAAAGGTTTACTCCACTTTCGCTTAAAGTAACATTACTAATGGACAACTTTAGTGCATTGCATTTCAGTAATGAATTTAATTCAATTTGGAGATATCTGATGGAGTGGTTTTTTTTTCTTCGAGATTTCGCTTATTAAGATCATTAAAAGGTGTCAGAATACTTTTATTATATCATACATGGAGAGATGTAGTTTTGCTCATGTGTATGATTGTTTGCTCATTATTAAATTATTATGCAAGCTCAAATGAAGTTTTAATGATTTATACACTAAACCAGAGGGTCTAATTTTCTCTTTTTATTGTAAATTTTTTTTTCTACTCACACTTTTTATCTCACACTTTGTTCTAATTTAGTAATTTATATTGTGCACTCATTGAGAGATGAATCCAGCTGATGATGGGTATTTCATTAAATTTACGTTCCCTCATAACTTCTCGGATCGTCATGTTTTTTTCCATCATTTTATGACTGTTCAAAAATCTATTTTTAAATTAATCGTCTCAAAGTGTTGCAAAAAATCGAAGCAATCAAAGCGATTGTGTGCATTTTCATGTGTTCATATCTCTTTTTCTCGTCTAATAATTTATTGACTCTATTATTAATTAGTTTTCTTTTCCCTCCATTGCAACACATTTCGCTCAGTGATCATAACTTGGTATTTCTTCTCTTGGAGGGTGGCGAGGATGAGGAAAGAGAAAAGAAATCAAATTTGATGCACAACACAAGGAGAAGCAATATTTGAGGAATTTCAGTATTTAACATTTGACTTCTCACTTTCAGTTTCAATATTTATTATTGGAATTTTTAAGTGGATTTTTACAAGGTGAAAAGCATTTCTTTTCAACATTTCTTGCGCTTGTGTGTGCCAAAACTCAATAGGTTTTTTTTCTTACAATTTTTTTCTTCACTGAATCATACAGACAATGCATCAAATAAAGTATTACACATCAATTATGGTGTGTAAATAACGTAAAATTTTACATTTGGCCTTTTATGAGGCGGAGTTTAAAAGTGAAATAAGAAAATTATTGTAGAAATTATCGAGACAGAGCAAGAGAGTGAGAGAGAAAAGATTGACTGTACAATTTAGCATGTGTCAATTTTGCTAATTTCCTAACATTAATATAAAAGTGCATTGAAAAGCGTTTTATTAAATTGCCTATTAAAGTGCTATAAAGCTGTCATGTGTGATATTTTTTCCGTGATTGAAATGCCCAATTCCTTGCGAAATCTGACTCATTTATTGACCATCTGGGTGACTTGCTTTATTCTTCGTGTACTTTGGGAAAAAATGATGGGCTCTTGAATGCTGCAAAGTCCCCTCTTTTTTTCACCTTACTTCAACTCATGAGCGTGGATGTGAGTAAAGGGGGCTGATTGTGATCTTTATCTACCAGTTTGACTGTATGGTTGTCAATGAGACGCCGAAATATGGGTATATATATATATTGAATTAAGGCGAAAGAAGAAAATAAAGGTGTTATTGTGAAATAAGGTGTACAACAACTTCAATATAAATGATACAATTATAGAGTTATTTTATACGTTTTCTGCACTTATACTCATTAACGATCTTTTCTTTTCTTTTCTCGATTCCTTTTAGACCAAAATCGAGGGTGACGATGGTCCATGGACAACGACAAATGGCGAAAGTGTATGGTTGATCCATCGCGGTGGCTTTTGCGCTGCAACGAGATTCCTGCAGAAGAATCCAGGCGATGGCGGTGGAAAAGTACTCATTGAGCTGCAACACAGTGGCGAGCAACTGCAGGTGGACGAGGATGACATTGAGAAGGCGAATCCATCGAAGTTAGACCTGGTGGAGGATATTTGCCAACTGAAGCATCTCAATGAGGCGTCGGTGCTGCATTGTCTACGTCAGAGATATGCCAGCAACCTCATTCACACCAAAGCGGGACCCACTTTGATGGTGGTCAATCCCATGGCTCCATTGTCTCTCTACTCTGAAAAGGTAGATAAATGAATCTCTCTTTTTTGCTGTTCTCATACACTCTATATTTGGTTAATTCTATAAATTGACCATGCTTGATGTATACATACATCAAGGAGTCCATGTTGAGTGAATGTTGCGCGGAGGAGAGAGAGAGAGGAAAAAGCGGGCAATCTATCAATATAACAAACATTATTGAGACGGGGAAATTTATGAGGTTTTGCCCCCTTCTTCTCAATACAATGTGGGAAACACCGTGTAGAAGATCGATAGATGGAAAATGGTGCAATTTATTATGAAATTATTATTGGCAAGTGTCTCCGGGCAATTTTTCACTTTTCTGCTATGGATGAAAAATTATGATTAAATAATTGTCTTCTTTTGGCATTTCAAAATTGCCCCATGACTGTACATAATAATAAAATAAACACGCACGAATCTCTATTGGACGATCGGTGAAGTTGAAAGGGAAGTTTTTCCCATATAGTCAAAGTACAAATTTTCCAATTTATTGCTATATAGCATCATCAATAGTTTGGAGTCTAGCATGGGTTGAATAAGGTACTCCTTAATTTCCACGCTATAGCCAATCAATGAGATAATTTGTGCACATAAGAGACACACCTCTGCCTAATGTTGCCTTTGCATATTACAGAACCAGTGGATGTGTATAATTCCGCTTCGAGGAGTTTCATTGACTGCTGATTTTAACACAGAGATTTTCATGAAATGGATCAAACTAATTGTTTTGTACTTTGCAATAATCCATGTCAATTTTAGCATATCGAGTCGTATAGTATGATTGTTTCATTTAAATTGATATTAAATGCCACTGCTCTTTCAATTTTACCACCAATGCAATTATCTGTCTTAAGGATTACGGGTTTTCTGTGTGAAAAAGTTAGCAAGAAAATCAATGAAGTAGAATTATTTGTTGGTAAATAGAAAGAGAAACCTTCAATTAATAATATCTACTTCCTCGTTCCGGACCTGAGTTGTTTTATGTAATTGATCGCTGACACTTTTATCGCTCACTTTAAACACAAAACAATTAATTTCGTACAATAATTGCTCGCTACCAAGTGTGAAGAACATTGTCTATAACTTTTGGTATTTAGTTAAAAGTCAAGCGACTTGATGTGGTTTATATAGTGTTAAATTTTATAAATAGTTTTATTTTTATTCGTGTTATATTTGTTTGGCAATATTGCGGAATATTTTTGCTTATGAAAATATTCTTGAGCACACACAAAGAGATAAAATCATATTTGTCTCATATTTCTTTCGCAATAATTTCAATTGCAATGTGCATATTATTCTATCGCAATTTTCGTAAATTGATCTCACAAACGTTGCCAGGAGTGTTGGAGGAAAAATTAAAGTGAGGCTCATTATTAACACCGCGTTCAGTACATTGCATTGTGGCATGCCTGTTTTTCGATATCAAATCGATAGAATCTCTATATAATGTATAATTGTCATATTATTAGTTTCTCTCTCATGCTAAATTATTGATTGTCCGATAGTGATTGGGTGTATATTACAGTGGATTTTTGCCCATGAGGTAATGTGAGAAGGAATGCAAAATATACTTAATTGCAAATTGTTTGCCAGTATAGAAGGTGATTTCTGGGCATTTGCATTTTATGTTATTAATACGATTGTATAGTATTGTAAGAAGGCACATCTTTCGACAAGCAGCATCTTTAAGTTGGCTATTTTATGATGTGTGACGAGACTCACGATTGTAGAAATAGGTAAATTTGCATAGGATAGTATTTTATAAGCAGGAACGTGCTTGATATTTTTATCCATGATGTCTCTAATTTTATTTTATTTATGCTGTGAAGAAGAGTTATGGTGCAAGATTGCACATTAATATTGAACGATAGTCAAATCAATAAGTAAATAATGGAATACATCTATCTTCAATAGGTGGTGTCAATGTTTCGTGGATGCAAGACTGAGGATATGCCTCCGCATGTTTACTCACTGGCACAGACCGCCTACAGGACAATGCTCGAGACGAGACGTGACCAAAGTTTAATATTTATGGGACGTTCCGGTTCCGGGAAAACAACAAGCTTTAAGCACGCACTGTACTACTTGGCTCTGGCTGCAGGTAAATATATATATATATATATATTGTTGATATCAATTGATGATGAGCAACAGTTGCGAACCTAGTATTTTCCTGTGTCTCTTATGCAAAGAGACTTCTTATATATGTGTATATATATATGCAATTGAAATGAGAAGGAGGAACAAATTCGACAATCATGAATTGTTGATCGATGATTTTGAGAGACAAGAAAAGAGACGATGGCTAGAAGTCTAATGCTAAAGTCGTGATTTTGAGTGCCCACACCAATCAAGAGTGACTTTCTTTTTTTCTCACTCGTAGGTTCTGTGAACAAATTATTGACTGCTGAAAAGGTGAACGCAATAAATACAATTTTAGAGGCATTTGGCAATGCAAAGACCTGCATGAATTCAAATGCAACGAGATTTACCCAGATCCTCAGTCTCGACTTTGATCACAGTGGGCAAATTGCGTCGGCATCAGTGCAGGTATTTCAATACATATTAATTGTTTCCAATAAGCATATTGGTAGTGCATAATTTAGCCACATGGCATGGGTATTGTGTTCCACCTTCGGGGAAGACAGTATACCAGGCAAGTGATTAATGAATGCTACACGCATTAACGCCTTGATTTTTCATCTTTTCGACTATGTTCTTTCACTTGTAGTAATTTTTTTTCCTTGTCTCCTCTGTGGTTCAGGTGTTGCTTCTGGAGCGAAGTCGCTGTGGGAGACGCATCGGGAATGACTGCACTTTTCATGTTCTGACGAGATTACTGATCGGTGCCGAGGGGAGTCTGCAGAAGGAGCTCCACTTGGACAATGTTTCGTCAGATGAGAGTAATCCCTTTATTCAGTTACCGCAGAAATTGGAGGATAGACAGAAGGCATCGTCGGAATTTGTGAGATTAGTTCAGGCATTCGCCATGCTCAATGTTGAGGCATCATCTGTAAAAGCTCTATGGCACGTTTTGGCGGCAATTTATCATCTGGGTGTGGCGGGTGTTACCAAGAGTGAGTATTACTCAATTGGGAATTAAGAATGTGCATCCATAAATAAAGGCATACACATTCAGTGGGTGATCCGCAATGCATTAAACACGTTTTTTTTTTTTGCTCTTATCGCTTTTGTCGCTACAGTTGGGGTTGGTGCCACGGCAAGGACACAATTTGCCAATCCATCCGCCGCGAGGAGGGCTGCAACATTGTTGGGCATCTCAATGGAAGATCTGACGAGTGCCGCCTTTCAAAGTGGCAGCAGTAGTCCGGCCAGATCGCCCACAGACAGTGCTGAGGCCTCATGGGATGGTCTGGAGGCACTTATAGTGGGATTGTACTCGGAAACGATGGCGGCCGTTGTGAGTCTCGTAAATAAAGCCATTTCAACGTCAGCACACACAATTGCATCAATCTTGTTGCTCGATTCACCAGGATTTCAAGTGAGTTTACACATTTTTTGCTTTACACCCTTTCATATCGATCCATCGCATTGATATTGACCTGCCAATGTAATCTCGGCATTGATTGAGTGCAAGTTGAGGTGGGGAGATAAGACTTTTATATTGTGTATTAAGAAAGTATTTTGATTGTGTATATTTACAGAATCCTGCAAGCTGTGGCCAACAATCCGGAGCCACTTTGTCAGATTTGCGCCACAATTATCTGCAAGAGCGTCTCCAATTGCTGTTCCACCATGTAACACTTGTTGCTCCCCGTGATCGCTATGCTCAAGAGCTCGTAGAGCTCGATGGTGAAGGCGTTCCAGAGATGAATCCCGCTCAGTTGGTGTCTTTGATTGATAAAGCACCACAGAGTCATGTTGTGAGAACTTCTCAGCGAGATCTACGTGAGCAAGATCGTCGAGGACTCTTATGGCTACTTGATGAGGAATCTATCTATCCTAATTCTAATGATGACACCTTTTATGAGAGACTGTTTAATCATTATGGCGATCGTGAGCATCAGAATTTGTTGAGACGCGCCGGTGGAAGTCGACAGTTTATCCTTCAACATCTGCAGGGAACGAATCCCGTGCTTTATTCTGCCACAGGATGGCTCAAGGCTTCGAAGGAGCATCCTGCCACGAAAGCGGCTACTACATTGGTGCAGGACAGCTCAAAGGAGGATATCAGTAGATTGTTCATCTCAGCATTTGGCCGTGGCAATGGAGCGGTATTCTGTGGATCAATTGCCGGCATGGAGGGATCACAGTCACTAAGGCGTGTGTCAAGTATTCGACGATCTTTCACCACGGCTGGGGTGAAGAGGAATTCCGTGATGTTGCAGGTGAAGTTCACAGTTGATGGGATTGTTGACACTTTCCGACGCACGGGCACCCACTTTGTGCACTGCTTCATGCTGCAGCACAACGCTGGAACGACAAATGCCAACAGTCAGACCAGTCCTCAGCACACCAGTGAAGACATTGTCAATATTCCGCTCGTGAGGAGTCAGGTATGCAATTGAAATTCTTGCTGTGACAGTGATTATTGCGGAAAATTGATGATGAATGTTCTTATTGCAGCTGAGGGGATCACAAATTGTCGATGCGGCACGATTACATCGGCTGGGCTTCCCGGAATCTGTGCCACTACACGAGTTTATTCGGCGCTTCGGTCTCCTGGGTGATGTTCAGGTGAAGGATCAAAGTGTAGAGCAAATCCTGTCATCCAATGAGATTGACTCATCGACATACCGCATTGGGCCGAGTCAGGTGAGTGTTGAGATTTTCCAATATAATGTTAAACCTCAATTGCCTCATTGCGTTCAATTATTTAGCAATTTGCATAATCACTCCGCATATTATTGACTGAGGAGATTTCAGTAATGATTGTGTGTGTTTTCCGAAGAACAAATTCTTCATTATTTATTGAATTAATTAAACGTGTTGATTTATGCCTCAAATGGCGATCAGATGGTAACGTTTAATGGTCGGCATTTTTACGTGCTAACAAAGAGAATAAAAAATTAGTATGTGCGACGACGTACTTTGTCAGTAAGTCTTCGTGAATGGTTTTTGTGGATGGACTCTTCACCCCGAGGAGCCTTCAGCATCCATTTATTTTGCGCGAGAGACAGGTATTAAAAAAGAGGGAGGTCGATTAAGACGATGAGTGTGAATTACAATGAAAAGCAATTTAGAGAGCTATAAAATGAATAACGATGTTGGTTTACGATATTGCTGAATATTTATGTTAATTTCAACTTTATGTTTCTTATGTTGTATTTTTTTTAAACATAGGAATTCGTCTTTGTTAGGTTTTGTTTCATGCTTTTACCAGGAAACGTTGAAAAATGTACTGAACTGTGTCCATAATTTCGGGTATAATCGCTAAGAAATGTTGTGTCTATGCTAAGAAAGCGTCTCGACTGAGTATAACAGTTTGATGAATGTACTGCAATTTCTCTTTGCGTTTCCACCCAATTCATTTATATGCAAAATGTTCCTAATTGTTGTTTAATTTGAAGTGTAAATATTCATTCACATTACTTCCTCATCCATGGAATATTAAGTGTGCTCCATTGATCTGAATTCACAGAAATTTCCTGCATTTGTACATGGAAATTTGGTGAAAAAAAATTACAGATTAGTGTGTGTACAATTGAAAGTAAATCAAACATTCTCGAGAGCAGTACAATATGTGTGGTGAAGATTAATTGATGATTAAGTGTGAATTATTTGTTGAAAAATTATTATGCGCATAGAGAAATTGTGCCAATTTCTTCCGTGCCAAATAATTGATTTACGCACATAATTTTATTCAACTAAAATGCTGAGGGAAAAGTTTTGCACGGGGCCATTTAACTCATATCAGTAAATTTACAATTGGCACAATTGTCCCCAAAAACGTAAATAGAAGAAGTTCACAGAATGAAACTTTCCCAAAAATGTGAACTTTTTAGTTCACACAGCCGTAAATATTACTAAGTGATTGAAAATGTGTGCCAAATATTAATACAAGTATATGTATGGGTGTATGTTTGGTGAAAACAATGGGCCTAAATATTTCCATTTTAATCTATAGAGATAGTGCGGTGGTCACACAAATAGAATATCAATTAACACGGTAGCGGGAAGATTATTTTCATGCACATGATCGTGGGTCAATAGCATTTTACATTTGCCAATGTGTGCTGTGCTGTGTTTATTTTCATCTTAATCTGGCGAGTGGCCATAACTCATAAATGGGAAATTTAAGGAATGAATTATAGAGCAAAATTCATTCGATATAATCTGATATTATAGTGGGACACACAAAATTGCTTTAAATTGAGTTTTATGGGAATTTTTTTTTCTTTCGACTTCTCTCTCACTCTTGAATCGTTGTATCACACATTGATTCGCGAAAGATATACGGCTATTTTGTCATTTCGCCTGTGCAAATTATAAAATACACAAATCACGTATAGACATAGTGAGAGTGCTGAGTGAGTGTAATCTGAAGAAATGGCTAGAAATACACAATTTTGCGATTTAATTATATAACATCCTGGTTGTTGGTGGGTGGGGGTTGTGTTGTGGGGGTGGTGGGTTTTGTGGGTGTTGGGTGTGTTGTGTGTGTTGGGGGTGGTTTTTTGGGTGGGGTTGGGTGGTTTTGGTTGGTCTACGTGACGTCTAGTGACAGTCTACGTGACGCTACTGACAGTTAGTGACGTCTAGTGCGTCTACGTGACGATCAAGGATTATTCCGTCGCGTATAAGTTACGCTCGATGGGGTCTAATCGACCTATGACAGTATAGTTACAGTCGGAATAGGTGACAGAGACGTATAGTTATAGTCTCGAGGAAGAAGCAACCATCGTTGGATTAGTTGGATAGGTTCTACGCCTAGGAGGTTATAATAAGTGTCATACACATTCCACAGGACAATCGGCCGGGAATAGGATAGAGTCCCCTTTAGAACACAATGGGAATCCCTGGGAACGACCCTTGATTCCGCCTAAACGGCAACCATCAATGAGGTCATTGATTAGGTCAGGAAGGCCGAGTTGTAGTAAATTCAGGCGCGCAATCGAAACCCACTGATTGTAACCCCAGAGAGATTGATAACATAAGTTGTCACCAGAGGGCTAGGCTCTCACGCGAACGGAGAGAGAGGCTCTCACTTGGCTTCCGATGCTGTGAGTCAGTCCTCTCTGAGTGGTGGAAGTTCGCCTGTCGGTCCGCACCTTCGGGAGCCCATTCTAGGATTTAACCCGCTCTATCGAGTCATCATAAATTCGCTACAATCCGTCATATAACGTCCATTTATTGAAATGTATTTTTGAGAAAACTAATCAATTTGATGTAGTTTAATGAGACAAATTGAGATGTATCGTTGAATGTGAAGATAAAATTAAATACTCTTCGCATATTGTGTGATTTTGGTTGCTTCTCTAATATGCACACTCTCTCTTTCTCTCTGTGGCTGATGCCACACTAAAAAGTATTTATGGTGATATTTATTATTTCGTGATGCTGTGGGAAATATACTTTAATGTACAGTAAAACCTTGTTTGACGTGAAATGAAATTCTCTTGTTGGCTATGGAGTCATTTCTCATGCAAAATTTATATGTTATTCCACTGTTTGTGGAGATTATCATCTTAATTTAACCGCATCCAATCATTCTGATATTGACGTTGAGGCACCTAAAATGAGGAATTTATTGATGATTCTCACTTGGGAAGAGTTTCACTCTTTCACAATGTCTGTTTCTGGAACTCTTTTTTTTTCTTTCCTGATGCGAAATGCTAAACTTCCACGTGATAATAATAAAATACAAATTTCCCGAGAGTGGTGCTAATGTGTGTGGGGAAGAGAAAGAAAGAAAAAAAATACATCATTTCCATACATTGTTTTTAGGGGTCAAGTAACTGTGCGTATAAGTGAAATAATGTAGGTAGGAGTTTTAATATAATAAAAATATAATTATTTGCAATGTTTCAATATCAATTATTCCTCTTCCTGTTGTGAAGATAAATGATTGCAGATTCTTCTTGGTTTTTTTTAGCCAGTCACATGTTTCTGTTTGGTCATATGTTACATGACTAATTAGCATAAAATTTCATTTTATGGATGCTGTGCAAATTAATATAAAGTGTGATCAACATATAATATTAATCGCTTGTGGTTCTTCAAACTGCCTCTTTCTATATTTCCGAGCCGATGCATTTGCTTGTGGTGTCTCGTATATGAATGTTTATGTCACCTGTGCATCTCGAAAGATTAAGAAGGAAAGATATCGGTGTGGGACAAAATGTGAAAGTAAAATTTCTTCGTAATCTCGATTTATCCACCTTTTAGATCTATACATATACATGCAACATATGAAGTCTGTCTCATTTTGTACTTATATCTGGTATATAATTGCATCCACAGTCTATTAAATGGTCATCAACCGTTTAAAATGTTTGGATATTTCTCGTATTTAAAAGGAAAAATTACATTATAAATTGAGAGAGATAGAAATCACCTTTTTGCACAAAACGGTGTGTGCATATTTGAAAATTTGCACCTCTTGAGGGCAATTCACTCAATAAATCTCCCGATTAATTTCACTCACTGCAAGGCACGATGGTCATAAATTAAGAATTGCAGTATGTTAGTTGAGTGAATAAGTCGCCAAGTAGTAATTTCGATTTATTGCTAATAATATTTTCCGTTCTTTGCACAATTATGGAATGATAAATAGTAGTATTATAGTGGTAGCTGCCTTGTAATAGGATTCTATGAATGCTGAATAGCCATTGATAAATGAAAGAGGAGAGAAGAATTTCATTCATCATTGGTACTAAAATGACATGCAAAGAATTGATTGTCCTCTTACATCTATCTGCAAGAGAGGTTCTTCAAAAAAAAAAAATTTTTGCGTGAAGGAAATATCACTCAATTATTTGAAACATAAGGAAATTGAATGAAAGCGCTATATAACACCTAATTTAACACTTGAATAGAAAGAAACACGCTTTACTTCTTATGTATATTATAAAGAGGTGGAAAAAAAGAAAGAAAATTGGGATACTTTAAAGTAAATAGTTTTGGCCAAAGGGCGTAAAATGTTGATGTGCTTGTCGATTAATATGCGTGTCTGAGAGGGAAAGAGAAAGAAAAAAATATACATGCCACAAAAGAATAAAATTCATAAAGTGAAAACGATGATGAATTGAAATTCCCATTTCTTCTTGTTGTCAATTTTATAACACTGGGGCATATAAAATACCAATGTGACTTTCTTGTAAAAATTTCTGCGAGTGCAAGACTTTATTGAAGGCATCAAAAAATTTTTAAGACAAACAGAATACATTGAGGTGAAATGGTAGCTTTTTCCTTTAATGTATTCTTCGAGGAATGCAGGTGCAATAAATACGTGAGAAGCTTTTTCATGGTTTTTATGGGGAAAGATGTGCAAAAGAAAGATGTAAAGACAGACCTTTTTCCTTACTTCACCAGACATTATATGGATATATGTAGTATGTGTTAAGGAGAAAAAAAATGTAAAGGGAACCTAATTTACTTGAGGAATAAAAAGAAGACTGGAGATCAAGAGTTGCTCAAGTGATAGTTGATTTTCTTTAGTAAGAAACAATCTTTCGATGTCGAGTTTTTTCTTATTTTCAAGTAATGATTAACATTTTCCAAAATCCTTAATAATCTGATAAATTTTTACTTCAACAGTCAAACTTGAGTTCGTTATGTGCCAAAGATTTTCTCTACTTTCTTGAATGGTTTTG